TAACTAAAATGGTATTTTCGAAATTGGACCCGAACGAAGAAGATGATGAACACTGATCTAGAAACAGGCAAAGAGGATCGATCCAAGGGGTGGATTGATCCCCTGGGCGTGTTTCCTCTATCTTGGATCGATCCAGTCCTCTGGATCGATCCCCCAAAATTTTGCTCCGAAAATACTTTCGAAAATGCTATTTTTGAGCTCTAAAGTCCTATTTTTGATACCAATTAATTATGAACAATATAGAGATGATTTTTCACCATGAAATTGATGTTTTTAACAAATAAAATGTTATGTGATGCATGGCGGTAAGCTAGGGTGTTAACACTCGAAACCAGGCCGCTAATCACTATTGGATGTTATGTTGATTGATGGTTATGATGAATGATTATTATGGATGATTATGAATGATGAACCTACTGATTAAAATGATTACTTATGATTGAACCATGTGTAAAATGAATACATTGATAATTATGAAATGATTTGTATTGTTAAGGGTATCTAGAAAAACTTTAAGATATACCCATTTAGATAATTGATATTTAGGCTATCTAGAAGACCTCTAGAATAAATCTCATATTAGAACAGACTTATGAAAATATGAATATTTGGAGATTTGGATAAAAATGTATAAAAGGGATTAATAGACTAAACTAGAGGATCACTCGTTTGGGAATACCTCGACTAGACGTTGATTAGTCGCTATTATGTTGTTGTCTTAACTGACTACAGTTAAGATCCTGAAAACAATTGCATTAAACTAATGATAGTTTAAGTGTCTGATTATTAATTGCCTTTCAAGAGTCTGGTTAATGGCCTTAAACTAGCCATAGTTTAAGTGTTTGGTTATGAAAATTATGATTTGGCCTTAAACTAAGAATAGCTTAGAGTGTTGTTATGATCTGGCCATAGACTAAAAATAGCTAAGAGCGTTGTTATTATTTGGCCTTAGATTAAGAATAATTTAAGAGCACTGTCGAAATAATATCTAAATTGAATAAAATATGTTGATATGAACTGAACAATATCAAAATTGTGAATGTCAGAATTGAACATTGTGTGCATGATATCGAATGATTTGATTATGAATTTGGATTCAGTTTATATGGATGTTCGACGCATTAGTTATGTTTACTCAGCTTCAATGCTGAGCGTGTAGTATGTTTTATTTGCTACACGTAGGTTAACAAAAAGAACAATGTGATCCTGGCGGCAGATGGGGCAAGACTGTCGGGATGGATGTGACAAGTATTGAAATGATTTATTATGATATGACAATATTTGAATTCGCTTCCGCAATATTGTTGAATACTACATACTGTATATGTTATGAAAAATATTATTGTGATAAATAAAAAGTGTTTGAAAAGTTTTAAATTTTTCGATTACCAAGTTAATACTTTAGTCCGAAAGGGGCTGCAGACCTGGACAAATTAGGGTGTTACATACCCATTTAGATAATTGATGTTAAGGTTATCTAGAAGACCTCTAGGATAGACCTAATATTAGAATGGACTTATGACAATATGTGTATTCATTGATTTTGAATAAAAATATGTAAAAGGGATTCATAGACCAAACTAGAGGATCACTCGTTTGGAAATACCCCGATCCGACGATGATCAATCGCTATTCTATTGTTGCCTTAACTAACTACAGTTAAGCATCTGGAATTGTATTGCCTTAAACTTATTACTCCCTCCGTCGTCCCAGTGTTTTCGTCCACTTTTCCCTTTTGGGATGTCCAAGTGTATTCGTCCACTTTCCTTTTAAGGAAAATTAAAAATGATATAGTGACCCTTTTGCCCTCAATTACATATCCCTTTTCTCTTTCTCACTGGGCCCTTACCATAACTGCTCCACCCCATTATCTCTTCATTCCATTTTCTTCCTTCCCCTTCCAGTAATTCAATTATTTCAAGAATCCTTCAACATCCATATTTTTCTACCGCCACCAACCTGTCCTTAGTAGTTGAGTTACGAATGAATCCAAACTTTGGATTTGATGAAGATGGTGGTAGATCCACACTTTTCTAGGTTGCAGATCTATCCTTTGACAAGCACAGGTGTAGCAACCGTAGATCTAAGCTCTTCCGGCCGGGCAACCACAAATACAAAAACAATGGATCTTTGAGCAACCATGATGCAATAGCGACAGATTCAAGCTATTCGTTGTCAAAGATGGCCTCTTATTGTCATGGTTCAATTGAGTAGATGAAGACAGTGGATCAGGGTTTTTCTCATTTTTTTGTGCCGTATTTGCATTTTGTTTTTCTATTTTTGGATCGATATGCATCATATCTGAGGAAGATTCCCTTAAAAACAATACTTTCACTTCATTTGTGTTACTCATTAACAATTAGCCAATAGTTTAATTGAGTTGTAAAGAAAAATGCATGGCTTAACAATTGGTAAAGAGTAAAAATTCAAGTCATTCAACAGTAAAAGTAGATGTGACATTTACTTTTATGCCTCCACTTGCCTTCTTCTACCGTAGCCTCCTTTCTTCTTAACATTGCCTCGAAGGAAATTTTAGACAAGTTCCTCTCTCCTGTCCCACTCCTTGGTATTTGTGCCAAAACCAAAGTGGACAAAGAGAGTGGGACGGAGGGAGTATAGTTTAAGCATCTGGAAATGTGTTTCCTTAAACTAATTATAGTTTAAGCGTCTAGAAATTAATTGCCTTAATTGACTACAGTTAAGCGTCAGGAAATATGTTGCCTTAATATAATCATAGTTTAAGTGTCAGGTTGCCTTAAATTAATGTCCCTCTCGCTGGGTTGCCCATGCTCCCCTTCAGCCTATTTTTTCTTCTTTTGATTCGACTTTGCCTTGAATTTATCTGTTCCCCATGCCTAGAACAACGAACAAATATATACATATATGTATAATTAATTAATAAATAAACATTAAAGACTAAGAATAAGAACTTTATCAAGAAATACTCTTTTAATTACATACCTTTGTCCATGATATCCGTCGGGGGTCTCCAACTCACATGATTGTCTCTAATGTTGAATGTCATGTTCACGTACCTTTCTGACGCCTTTGTTACAAACGCATCTTGCACCCCTTCCTCATTTAGGCTAGAAGGCCACCTGCAACGTTTCTACAAATTAACAAATTACAAATAGGTTAAGAAGTGATTTGAAATATAAACATCACGAGTGCATACATAAAACCTCATATATGTATGCATACACCTAGACTTAATTTCAAATACTTACATACCTTAAACTCCTCCTAGTAGAAACTCAATGTCTCTAAATATAAATCTTCCTAGCAGCTCCCTTGCGGATCAAACCGCATATGAAAAGAGTTATTGATCACAAGAGACGCTCTCTCCATCAACACAGTCTTGTGATTCAGTAGTCAAATAGATTCAACATTACAACTAACAAATGTTTTAATCCCCTTTACATATTACATATATTCATACATGCATACACACATACATAAAAATATAGCACATATTATAAATACTTACTCCTTGTCAACAACATAAGAATCATATGGACCCTCATTTGAAGGACCACTAACAAAATTCGGTGCCGGATACTCCTCTGATCAATGCATGCTTGATGCCCCGGAACCTATATAAAAATAGTAATTATTTTTATCAAAATTAAAAAACATACTTTTCCATGCTTTGCAAAATTCAACACAAAAATATTAACACATACCTGAATTGCTCTGGCTAACAAATGACCTCCTCCTTGAGGTATTAGCCTCAAGAGACTGAGACACATAAACATCCTCAATCACCCTCTTAGATACTGACTAAGATATATGCACCCCACTATTATGTACGTCAGAAGTATTCTAAGGGGTGCTACTGCTCGAGGGGCTATGTGGGCCCTCACGACCTCCAATCCTTGAAGAATTATGATGAGCTATCTTCTCTTTTAATCCTCTAAGCATGAAAAACAAGCCTATCGCAGGGAGCTTCAGCTTGCCCTTCCTCTTATCATTGTCTATCTACATTAATATTGAAAAATAATTACTGATTAGTTTTTATGCTTATTAAATTTCAAATAAAATTTATTATGGAAACAAGTAGGAAATTGTACTTTCTTTACATTTCATACTACACATCAAATAAGAGGACGACATCATCATCTTCATTTGGAGTTGACTTAGATAAGTGAGAATCCTCATTTTCTTCATCAGATGAGAACTCGATGACATCTTCATTAGCCACAAGATCCTCACCCAAATGGTCCCCAGCTGTAAATCTAGCATTTCCTGGTCTAAGATGTACTCCGGATTCTCATATAAGGTTTCTGTTCGGGCCATTTTGCATCGTTGGAGGGATGTAGTCTCCATTTTTTTCTCCGTGACCAATTCAATCGTAGTAACTAGGAGTAAAATCCACATCGTAGAATATGTTCCGTTATCTCATCGAATATGAAGTATTTACTGTTCTTACATATTTCGCACGGACAACGCATTTTTCTACCCGAAACACCTCCCACATTTGGGTTTAGCTTACAATACTCTATAAATTTCTCGATGTTAAGAATCCAATGCTTATTAACAAGTCCATTCCTGTCATACTTGTTATACATCCACTCGCGAACTTCAAAAAACTTACTCATCCTATATTTGAACTGAAATTGTATAGCATGATAACAAATAACCAATATTATTAAGGAATAATACATAAAAACATAAATGACAACCATGATTTAAGAAAATTAATTAACCATGTACATTTCAAATTGAAACTAAAATACCATTTTATATATCAAAGAAAACAATATTTTGAAATTAAGAAAAATAATATAGTACTATAATATTTAAAAATCATACATAACTAATAAAAATGTTGACAATATTCATCTAAACATTTTATCAAACACCTAGCATACAATAAAAATAAATTGAACTATACCTAATTAAAATTTATAACCAACATTCTAATTCAATAAGTATATCAAATTAATGAATACCTATAAGAGCCATTATATTATACAAAAGTATTAAGACTTACAATTAAGATTAAAAACTAATTTGATTACTTAGGGGCTGTTTGGCAACTTCTGAATCAGTAAGCGCTGAACCAGTAAGAGGTCTGAACCATTAAGTGCTGAACCAGTAAGAGGTCTGAACCATTAAGAGCTAGTATATTGCTTAACTATTCAGAGGCAAATGTCTGATCAATTCAGATAAGAGGTCTTAACCATTCAGACTCTGTATAATACTTAACCATTCAGAGGCAAATCTCTTAACCATTCAGACATCTGAACCATTAAGAGGCTGAAACAAACAGCCCCTTAGAAAAATTAAACTTTTAGGTGTGAATTGTACCTTGAGGAAGAGGAATCGACAAACTGATCAAGGCGGACAAGTGGGGAACGACGACCAGCAGACGAATAGCAAGTGGCGGACGAACAACGAGAAGCGGTGCCATCTTGTCGGTGGTTTCTGGCATGCTGCTTTCCTGGTTTCTTCCTATTCGGGAGACGCGTGTGTGGTGAGAGTGGTGATTGAGTGGGTTACATTCGGATATTTTGCGACGGACTGTTTGCGACGAAAACTTCCGTCGTAGATGGCTAAAATAAAAAACATCGTAAAAGGACTTTGCGACGGATTTATCCATCAAAAAATTTTCGCGGGTCATTATCGCTACGCTAGGGTCTAATATCCATGACCACATTACGTTTTAGTCACAAACTTTTCATTACTGTCACTGATTTTCAATAGATTATATTTGTTACTCCCTCTGTCCCCCTGTATTTGTCCACTTTCATTTTTACACACCATCCAATGCACTTCTTTAATCCATTTTATCTTGTAATTTGTATATTAAAAAATTATAAAAATTATATATTAATAATCTATATGTTAAGACAAATCAAACAAGATCACACATGACTAAATTTAGGCTTACACATTGAAAGAATTTGATGAGTCAAAGTGCTTAGATGAACAGTTCCAAAAGTCAAATGTGGACAAATATAGGGGGACGGAGGGAGTTCAATTTTTCTGTTGCAAAACGAGCAGTTTTTGTAGTGGTGGGTTTTCCCCATTGAAGTATCAACCTTTAAAAGTTTGGCGTACGCTTCTTTAATTTCTAGGGTGGTGGCCGGATTGGCAGTCTCAGGGCAGGAAGCCGGTCACCCCATTGGAGTTCGGAAAAGGGAACTCATCCTTTGGGAACTCAACAAAGAAAAACCTTGTTTTCCACTTCTTATGGCTATAGGGGAGGTAGGTCACAAAAACTCTCTTCAGGCAAGAGTGGAATTGAAATACACGAAGCCTGGGCAATTGTGGGCATCGGTTAAAACTTCGAACATGTAAAAAGCACTCAAGAGAAGGAGTGAGATACAAGGGCTCACAAATATTTACAAAGCGATTCAGAAGTCGAGTCGCATTTGGGGTAAGTTGCCAAAAATGGAAAAACACTGACAGATCTCTACAAGGAGGGGGTAAAGAGGAAAGAGTATCCCACCCTCCACCTCTATAGAGGTAATGTGGAAACTAAATTGGGGTCCCTGAAGGGGGCTAATGATGTTCTGCTAGTTGGGATTCTATTGAAGGAGTGACGGGGGGATGCAATCAGATTTCACTTAAGGTTTTCTTGGGTACTGTGGAGGGGATAAGGTAGACCAACTTGATATCAATGGCACTAAAGCCCATAAACTCTAACTAATCCACGCATTTGTCCTAGTTGTCATTCTCCTCATTGAAGCGACCAGACATTTTGTTTAGAGGGACATGCTCTTGGACAATTATTTCCTAAGCCTGTGACTTGGACTGGCCAGAGTTAGGAGTTTGACCCATATGACTGAGCTGAGGCATTCTGACTATCACTCTCAAAAGACATGATGACTATCTTACTTGGCAAAGTTATAGAAGTAGAGGGACTTAATTGGGAAGGGAGAGCTTAGGTAAGAAAAAAGACCGGTTGACAACATCAACCTGGATTAGGTGACGGGATTGGGAGGATGGAGAATGGCCCCCCTGGGCGCCGACCTACTTGAGCCAAAGAGAATAAGACACATGCATAGGGTGATGATGAGAGGTACTGATGTGTCGTGCTGGATGAGGAGGAGATCTGATGATTGTACTACCAAAGGATCTCAAACTGACGGGGCTTGGAGGGATTTCAAAATAAAAAATTTGAACTGCCAGGCTCCTGGTGTTCCACTCTAAAGGGAAAAACGCCAGGTATACTTTCCGCGCTTGATGATTCTCACAAGGCCAGTAAGTGGAGGACATATTGATGGGTATAACTTATACCCGACTCAGAGACCCAAAAAGTGATCGGTCGGATAATGATCGGTCACAAATCAATATTGCTTAAAAGGGCATACGAACCATAAGATAAAGTAACTAGTCATATCACCTTCGGTAAGTGACCAGTCAAATTTGCTTAGTCTACGTAGAAAAAACAATATAGAAGACAACTCTTTGGATGAGCATGGTTGGGCCTTAATAGAAGGAATGTGGGGATGACACGATGAAGCATCATGCATGACCCAACTACCCCTCCCTGGCGTCTTTGGGAGTTAATTGCAGAGCAAAAGTTCCGCTATATTGTCCTTGCTAGGCGACTTTATTGATG